ATGTACATACAGAGAGAAACAACAAAAACTAAGAAGGAGGAGGAAAATACTTAGGAGGATTTACTTTTATCTTGAAATGCCTTTCTAGCTCCTAGTAATTTCTGTGCAGTTAACATGTCTGATTTTTTTGGTATTTCCAGTAATTAACTGAGTATCTTCTGGAGTTAAAATTCTGCCCAATTTCACAATTGCCAAGCCTCGATGGATCTGGTTTTCTCTATGACTAGACAATTGCAAAGAGTAGATTGTTGTCTTCAATTATGCTAGTATCTGGCTGTTTTCTTGCAATCAAGACATCTGATACTGTATGATGCCAGCATTATTTAAAACAGTGCTATCTCGAGGGGGGAGAGAAAACTGAATATGTGGATTCTTGGTGGACCAAAAGTTGCAAGTACACTTCGTCATTCATTGTGCATCTTCAGTCTTTGACTAATTGCTATTGAGCCTCAAGTAATATTTCAAAGTAACTGGTTTTATATTTTCGCAGTTGATGTGGAGCCTCATTATTGAAGGGCTCTGATGTTAAACATTAGATTTGATTGCAAAGACAAGGTAAAATAAGCTAAACGTTGAATTCAATAATATAGGTATTGTGGACTTTCCAATTTGGCAGAGTCCAAGCAGACACAACCATAAAGTGGCAATTTTACAACTCTCTGAGCTTGCAGAATTTCTCTCTAAACTGATACATACTCTTAAATCATCTTGATAGCCTTACAACAGCTTTGTCTTTTCAGCTGCTGAGAAAATAGGTCATTCTCCCAGCTCTCTATAAGAATTAGAATGATTAAATTTTGCTTCTATATGCAGTCCAAAGTCTCAATTACCCCGGCCACTCTTACATCCTGTGCATGGTTGTACAGCCAGCGGTGGTCAGAGCTACAACTCTGCACTGAGCCTTGCAATGTTTAAGTTTGACGTGTTAAACAAGAGGTGACACAAAACATGCTCGTATTGCTAAGAACAGCAGTTGAAATCAACACGTGGAAGAGGTGGGAATTTCTTCTGCAGTCAGTGGATGGGATACGATTGACACCCCCGTCCTAATTGTGGTGTTCGTGCAAAAAAGAGAGAGCTGAGGGCTCCCTGAATTATCAAATGGAATTGAGAATTTGTGCCAGAATTATTTGAAATCATTTGATTTGTCTGAGAGTCAGAGGATTAACCATTGAAGTTTTCAGGAGACTTGGAGAAAGGTGGAAAAACTCCTTCCTCTTATTTCTTCACTAAAATAAACCTATAGCACGATGACATCAAGCATACAATACCTCTAGATCTGGCACGATAGGATGCAGGTCTATAAGGCTTAGATAAAATATCCATTCTTTAAGCAGAAGTAGTTTGTTAGGAAGAGCATGGATGGTTTAGGAGCAGATGACCTGGCCTGAGAGCTCTGAGGGCTGTGGAGCCCTTTCCAGTCGGCCTTCTGATTTATTTTTTTTTCTTTGATTCTGTATTTGTTGTACTGAGCTATCAAATTATTTCAGACAACACTAACTCTGAAAACCTTCTCAAATACCTTGTTTTCTCTTCCCCTTTAGCCAACAAAATATTGTTCTTTTATGTTATGTCATGCAATTTCCATGTTCTTGCCAGCTTAATGGGGATTTGCACTTATTTCTTGTATTCTCTGTAAGGAGTCTTCAAGAAGAGACTTGATTAAATTGTGATTATTCCTCCATATACAGTATTCCAGTTACAATAGAAACCAATGTTCATCCCAAAAGAAATACCAATTTGTAGTATGGAAAAAGGAAATTGCTTCCCTTCTATAGCTTGGCATATTTTTTTATTCTTTGCTTATCTTAGCTGCAGATATTTACATGAGTAATATGAATATCCCCTTTCAATGGGGAACAAATTATTCATGCAGTTAACAGCATTTTTGTCCTTTTAAAGTTTACATTTCCAGTTCCATCAGGGTATGGACATCGACCATTTAAACAACAATGAAACTCCGTTTAATTTCCTACACATCTGTTTATATGCTGAGCTTGTATTTTAGCTTTGTTTCTGTGATGGTTGTGGTGTACAGGGGGAGGAAGGCGATGCTCAGTATTTCCAGTTGAGGGTGCACAGATCAGTTCTATATTTCTGTCATTAAACACAAGCTGTATCACAAACCACTCCAATATTTTCTTTAGAGTTAGAACAGTTTCCCTGTGTTGTTTGAATGGGAGAGTCAATAAATGACTCCGCATGTGTGATGACATCTCCCCAGATAGTTTACTAATTCAACTGTTTTTATGTTAGATGATTTAAGTTGCATTATAATTGAGCAGTGATTTTTGGATAATTAAGATGGTCATCTGTCATCGTTCTGCATGACCATACTCCTGTATTTAATTTTAATTCTGTTACAGGGAACCTGTCAAAATACCCTGTTTTTTTCCACAAATCAGTAAATAATCTCAGCCACATACTCAAAAGATAAAATTATGTCTCAAATTGATTTATGTAGATCTGCTCTCTTTTTCAGTTGTTACAACCATTAAATGCTACTGAGCTCTCTACAGCTATTTTGAGTTTTTACTGTGTTACTGTTATGTCTTTGAAGGTTTTAAAGGACTGTCAATACAGCAAACATCTCAACATACAGAACTTAATATTGGACGCACTTAACATGCAGCCAGTTAAAAAACATTCATGCGATGCTAATTTTTTCCATTCTGCCAAGAATGGAAAAGGCTGGACATATGGAGATCTAAAAATTATTTTTCTCTGCTATTGATTTTGTTCCAAAAATTCTATCTAAGGAGCAGCAAAGCCCTGCATAAAGCAAATCCACAAGTTCCTTTAGGGCTTTACCTACTGTTACTACTGCATGTGTATCTTGATTATCACATATCTTGTCTTCAGCTGTTATTTCCATTTGCTAGATATTGTGATTTATACTTTTTTTAGCACAGCCAGTTTTAATAATCTGACATGGATTTTGGATTTCAGAAAATGTTACTAATTTGAGATATATTCTATTCATTGGGAGAGGAGAAGGCAAGGAGGCATAGTCCTTTTATGTTGTCTGTGGTGGTTTGAGGGGTGCTTTATACATGGAGAAAAATGTTATGATTTTTATTAGTAAAAGTGAAGATTTGCGTGATAGTTATTCAGACTTTTAAAGGAATTCAGGCTTGCCTGATAAAACTAGGCTTTAGTTGGTGGATATACTCCCTGTTATCTTGTTACTAGGTGGAATATGACCATAACCCACAAGAATTTTAGTAAATGGCAAGAACGCTGTGGAGCTGACAAGCTGTTGCTTGGAAGTTGCAAGGAAATTCTGCTTGTCTTATATCCATGATTGGCCTTAAGTGATATACGTTCCTATTTCATGCAATATGGCAAGGGTATTTCTACATGTATAAAGCAGCAAGAATGTCTTCCCTCTTGCTACAGGGCCTTGATAAATGTAGGCTTAATCGATAAATGAGATTGTATTTGAAGGATAGGGATCAGTCTAGCTTATAGCTTATTATTTTAAAGTCATGACATGAAATTGTATTAGATTATGGAAAAATAGATCAATTTATTGCTCACTGCCTGGTATGACAAATCATTCACCGAATAATGTAATGTCTGTTGCAAATTGGTATTTAGACTTGCAGATTTTTGCTCATGTCTCCTGTATTGCCATTTGGAGACCTGAGAGTTCCAGCAAGGCTGTGCTTCATGAATAACATGGCATGAAAAGTATCTCGTGTACCAGTAATATTTTGATGGTTTGATTGTTTCTTTTCCTCAACTCTTGAATAGCAACATGCTTTTTTCAGAGAGCTGTAAATTGGATTAATTGTACTACTTTGGCTTTGGAAACATTTCATATCCTTAAAACAAGACAAAACCAAACTGACAGAATTCCACGTGGTTTTTTTTCTACTGCCCCTCAGTGTGTTTCCAGGAGGTGGATGACTCTCATCTGCACGTGAACAATAAATCTTACTTGTAGTAGGTGTGTTATGAGCTTTTTGCACAAAAATGCATTCTAGGGAGAATAGTACGTTGAATTATAAAAGCAATGGCCTTAAAAATGGTTCCATAGTGTTCTCAGTCTGCTGAGGAGAAATGGTATTTTTATTTAAAAATATATTTTGCAATGATCCTGCTGGTGTCATCATCATCATCTGCACAAATTTTGGCTGACAGTTTGAAATCAAATGGTACCCAAGAGACACTTATATTTGTCCTTACAAGGGACAATAATACGTGTTCACAGCTGGATTTTACAGTGATTTCTATCTGTCAGAGCATTATTTTCACCACCAGTAGCAAACCAGTTCTACAGAGAGACTCTCTCTGATCTGGATTTTATCAAATGCAGTCTTTATAACACATTTTTTCTTTTGATAAACCTGTGTTCCAGGATGAAGTAAACTAGCCTAAAATTATCATGCCCTTAGTTAGATAATTGTGCAACATCTGCAGCTTCTTTACAGTACGTGTTCTTAAGCTGGCATGGAGTTAGGTGTATAACTGGCCTATAAAACTTTTTAACAAAAGATGTGTGATTCCCGTCTGGGAAGGGGCAAACCAAGCAAGCAAGGTAGCACTCAAAATTCTTACAGAATTCTCTAACTCTCATGTTCCATTATGCACATCAGTGACACCGAATGTATGAATATATTAGTGTTTCTATTTTATTTCTCAGGTATTTAGTCTTCTGTCCCTTTTGTAAGACTTAGTTTAAGAGATCTAGGTGGTGAAGGATAGCTTCATAGCCAGGTAGTGAGTAAAGGATAAATAAATATTAGCTCTTGTAAATTATATACTACATCTTGAATACCCATTGCAAAATCACAGAATCACAGAATATTACGAGTTGGAAGGGACCTCGAAAGATCACCCAGTCCAATCCCCCTGCCAGAGCAGGATCACCAGAC